CTCCGATTAGCAAGGAAACTGGTGATCCATTTGCTCAATTTCTCTGCAAACCAATAGCAAGGAAGCTTCGAAAGAAGCGCTTTGTGCCAGACCCGAAGGCCTTTGCTATGTCCAAATTAACGGCCAATGCCTCCCCCTTGGACTCTACCGCACATCTATGAGTCAGGTAGACCAGAAGATCACCAGCTGATCGACCCCGAAGAAAACCGTACTGGCGGTCACTAATTAGATGGTGATCCGGAATGATGGGATTCCATTATTTAGGAAAAGAAGGAGATGATAGTGATAGGCCTGTTGTTGGGCGGGTCTGAGCGGTCGCCTATCTTAGGGATCGGGTGGACCAAAGCTGTCTTCCATGCATTTGAGACTACGCCTTGGGAGTAGAAAGACGCGTGAAAACCGGTGCCAACTCCAGACCACAAGTTTTCAGCACAATGGGAGGGAATCCATCGGACCTACTCGACTTGCTGACGTCTAGAGAGAAGAGCGCTTTGCGAACCAAGCGCTGTGTAAACCGCACATTCGGCATGCAGAACTCACACCGCGGGATGGTCGGCGGTGTGTTCCCCCCGTCATCTAGAGTCGAGTTGGACGCAAAGAGAGAGCATAACAGATCGGCTCTCTCCTTTGCGGCATGGGCCAGTGAGTTTACAGGAGCGACCAAACCATGGCTGATACTGCCTCCGCTGGGTACCACAGAGGATGTAATAAAAAGTTCCATACCCTGAAGTACCACAGCAGAAACAGAATCGGCAACAATGCTGGGATTTTTCGGCGAGAAGGAAACCCGCCCCCAAGTGTAGGATGCAAAAAAGACCGCATCTTATCCCAATCGGCCGACCTATAGTGCTAAACACGGCGGCAGCCTGCAGAATGCAACCACGACGTTAGTGTGAGTGACACCACACTTCGGACAAGACAATGGTCCGATGAGCCCAAAGAAGCGTCGACAGAAACCTTATATCCGTCCGGATGACAGGTCAACAGAAAGTCCAACAGGGAAGGTGCATTATCCCTCACGTCTGGAATCCGCGTAGGCGAAGTAACCAGCTCTGTTTGACTATATGCCAAAACAAAGTCATAAACAGATCTCCCCGCATGATCGGTTGAAAGTGAATAGAGCCATTCGGCGTGGTGGCTGTTAAAATTGCCAAGGATCACGATCTCTGTGGATGGGATCTGATGTATCAGGGAATCTGTAGCCATTTGGACGTGGTCGATGAGTCGGTCTGTTTCGGCATTACCGCTATGGTACCTATAGAGGCACCCGTAGACGCGGAGATGGTCGTCGCTGTCTAGGCGCAGCCATACAATTGACAGGTCCGTACCTTCAAGACTGCCGAGGTGTCAAAAACAGATGTGTTCTAATTTGTGTCCCGGGTAGGAGAGATATGAAGTAAGTAGCTTGGTCGTGGATGCTCAGCAAAGTATTCTCCAGGAGAGCTGGTACCCTCCTGGGGTAGTCTTTTGTTTAATTCCGCTACCATGTTGATGGCGGGGGAGGGGGAGCGGAGTTGGGCCCCCCACCTGCACTCACCAAGCGAAACGCTGAGGTAAATCTCTACTTCACGCTGGTATTATGTGAGGTCGTGGTACCACCCCGGTTCGAGCCGGCTCATCCGTGCGACAACAAAAACTACCACTGTTAAAAAATCTAACATAATTAAAGTATGACTTATCTATCGTATTAAAGCACTCCTGTAATTATAGTAGTAAGTGGATATATAATAAATAAACAAATGAAAAACTTACCTAATTAACGATGCATTTGTGTACCACTTACTACGTTGTGTACCACACGTAGTTCCAATTTAACATAATTTAAGATGTTTTGTCGTTAAATACCCTTTATTTTAATTAAAAGTAATTGCTCGTAACGATTCCTATATAAGAGTATAGATAAGACTTTAAAAGGTATAAGTAGTTACGCAAATAACATATTTGTAACATGAGTACAAGCATCTTTTTAACCGACTTTAAGAGAAAGAGGACATTATCAATTTAATTCTTATATCACACTTAATGGTACAAATCCGTGTGATTACGTACCACTCTTTATTTTTTTATAGAATAAGGGTAATAAACGAGCACACAGTCCACCTGATGGTAAGTGCATGCTGTAGTCCATAGACATCTACATTGATCCTCGATTAAGAATCAAAATGCAGATGCATTGTTACCCCTGAGGAATAAGATGTAGTGCCTCATTTCCAGTGAAAAGGATCTCCGCTTCTCTACACACACCACAGGAAAGCACATACGAAAGCACAGCAGCATTAAGCTACTATTTTACGCTGGTATTCTGTGACAGCACGGTCCCTTCCCGGTCGAGCCGACCCATTCCTGCTGCAACCATAATATATGCAGCTATAGCTGCAGCAAGGCTCTACCACTTAAAAAAATATGAACTTATATCTTTTTTATTGAATAAGGGTGAATAATAAGCACACATTCCACCTGATAAGTGAATATTGTGGCCCATAGAAATATGCATCTATCTTCAATTAATAATCAAAATGCAACTGCGGTGGCACCTTTGAGTTCTAATATGGAATGTATTGTTTCATTGCAACGGTTATCTACACTCATTACACGAAACACTCCAGAATTTAGGTGCTGTTTCATGATGGTATTCAGTGAGAGTGTGGTCATTCTCCGGTCGAGATGATCTATTCGAGCTACAACCATAATATAGCTACAGCGTGGCTTTATTGGTATAGTTACTTGCATCGAAAGAATGCACTTCTATTACACACATTATAGTTTTTAACCAAATTCGATAGAGGCAGAATTCTAATAAAAATAACATTAACCATAACATTAGTTTAAATCATGAGATCTAAACCAAAACAGTTCAGAAAGAAGTGGCTGTTTACGAAAAGTGCATAAACACTCACGCCAGTCACCCAGAGCGGTAAACAGACACAGAAACAGACTTCAACTTAACGCAATTCTGACTCAACTCTCTCGCCTCCTTAACTTCCATATACCTATGTTTACATGCTCGTAGGTTAAAGGTACTCTTAATACGGCCCATCTTCAATATATCGCCAATTTGATCAATAAAATTTCATTTAGGGCGTGACTACCCAACCCTGTCATTCACTTCTGCAACATAGTTCGTTATTTTTGCATGACCAAACCACCGAAGCAATCCCTTCTAAACGCTAGTCACAACATTATCTTTGTAAGCACACTTTCTCTTATCACACTATTTTTTACCCTGTCATTCCAATTCAGCCCTAACATACTCCTTAATTATACTATGTTTTTAATTAGACTAATAACGCATAACAAGCACTACACTATTATATTATAGTTACAAAACGAATGCGTCGGTTCGGCCGGGGAAGTACCACACTAACACAGAATAGTGGTAGAGTCACGCGGCAGCTTTTGCTGTCGCACGAATGGGCCGGCTCAAACCGGGGCGGTACCACGACCTCACAGAAAGCCAGCGTGAAGTAGAGGTTTACCTCTGCGTTTTGCTTGGTGAGTGCAGGTGGCCGGAGGCCCTTTTTACTGGAAATGAGGCATTCCATCTTAGTCCTCACGGGTGAAAACGCATCTACATTTTGATTTGTAATAGAGGATAGATGTAGATGTCTATGGGCCGCAGCAACCACTTACCATCAGGTGGACTGTGTGCTCGTTGGTCACCCTTATCCTATAAAAAAAACCAACGAAAAATAAGGATTGAAGTAGGTCTACGGTATCCACCTATACCTTCAAGTGGACTGTGTGCTCGCTCGTCACCCTTATTCTATAATAAAAAAATGTCCTTTCCGCAGTCATGACGCGTATTGGTGGCATGACATTTCCTCGAATATTTTAAATTTATTTGTTATACAGATTTTCTCATAATATTTTCCTTTACCGCTTATCTAACTCGGTTTGGTTGCGTAATATAAAATTCAATAATTTATATTGAAATGTTTGAGTGCTTAAGTTTCAGGATAAAATTCATTTCTACTAATAAATGTTCATTGTACCAATGATTTATTTACTTATAGAATTATGTCTAAGGAAGCAAATAATCGTGTAATGTTAACAGTTTTATTTTTTAATTGTATATAATATTATTTTCTTTACTTCCTTTCCAAAGATTGAGGCTATATTGTGTTTGTTCCTTTCCGAAACGTATTGAATTTATAAAAGCTTTATTTCAAAAACTTTGTCTGTTATATTTAATCATGTTCTGTTTGATTTTGCGAAGGATATTTATCCGTTTGTTACGTTTTGTATGCTTTATTTATTAAATATAATAATGTTGATGCGAACTAGGTTGAACTATGAGGTTGATTGCTTCTTTTTTCTTCATCATAAGCCCTTAAAAGTGATACTGTATATGGGTCAGTGGGTCTTTTTCGTTGATAATATTGCTATCTCTTTATATTATCATTTAATTATTGTACGATATTCTACTGGGTTTAGCGACTTACCGCTACAATCTCCCTGCAACCACGAATCCAGGGGCTGGCTCACGGAGCTCGGGGCAGTCGACGCAATGATAGTAGTATCAAAGTTCAGCAGAGTGTATCGCACAAGAGTCCATAGGTTACAAGCACAACACTTCCAGGTGAAAGAGATCTTGAGAGATGAGTTTGAGTAACACGAAAATATTTGTATGCGCGCGCGTCGGCGGTTCTAATTAGACTGTTCACAATTGCCGCCAATCGATGTGGCGCTTGTGTCGCACAGAGAACCATAACCCGCAAGATTATGGATGCATTCAGAATGAAAACAGTTGATCGCTAACCCAATGAATTTAATAGAAATATAGAAAAATAATATCTTCGAAATTGTGTTGCCTTGTACTTGTTATTATATACGAAAAAAAAAAAGAAACCAAAAACATAATATATTAATAATCTGTTCCAGTACGGAACATGCCGCTCACCTTAAAAGAAGTAATTTCTTTTAAAAAATCGCTAACTTATAGTATAAATTGAAGACAAAAAAAACTTAAGGACTAGGATTAAGTTTGTAAATTTAACACATTACTCTAACGGAAGTGGGCAAATCTTTACTACAGGTCGTTTAAAAATAGTATTCCCAGCCTTTAAGGTCACTACACGAGTGACTTGATCGGAGCCAGGATGAACAGCATGCACACGCGCGAGCTTCCATTGTAATGGCGGAAGGTGCTCGTCGCATACCACAACAACAGTGCCTTCACGAATGGCGGAGCCGCGATCATGAAGCCACTTACTACTCTGTTGTAAGTGATGGAGATATTCTCTACTCCATCTTTTCCAAAAGTGCTGGACTGACTGTTGTATCCAGCGCCAACGTGTGAGACGGTTAGGGTTTTCGTCCAACAAGGATACATCAGGTAGAGCCGTTAAGGGTTCTCCTATTAAAAAATGAGACGGTGTTAAAGGGAGGGGATCGGTAGAGGCCGAACTCATGGCGCAAAGGGGACGTGAGTTTAACACGGCTTCGATTTGACAGAGAAGGGTATGCATCTCGTCGTAAGTCTGAGTACGAGTTCCAACCACACGATTTAGGTGGTGTTTGAAACTTTTAACACTAGCTTCGAAGAGACCTCCAAAATGGCTAGCATACGGAGGTTGAAAGTGCCACGTAAGTCCCTGTTGAAGGGTTTGTTGATTAATTGTACCTTGAACGACATGACTACGTAAAAACGCGTATAGGTCTTTAAGATAATTGTTACATCCGACAAAATTCTTTCCGCAGTCAGAATATATATCCGTACATAATCCTCGACGGGCCGTGAAGCGTCGCAGAGCTGCTAAAAATGCATCAGTGGATAGCTCCGAAACGAGTTCGAGATGTACGGCCTTTACGCTCATACATACGAATACCGAAACATAACACTTCACTATTTTCGCGTTACGTACTTTATTTGCACGAACAAAAAATGGACCGGCGTAATCTACGGCCGTTTTAAGGAAAGGACGCGCCGGACGTATTCTCGAAGCTGGTAGTGGTCCCATAATCGGTTGATCACGTGTTGGACGAGCACGAAAGCAACGGACACAGCGATGTATGCGTTGACGCACGATGTCGCGGCAAGACAATATCCAATAGCGCTGCAACAGCAAGTATTGCACGGACTGAGGTCCTGCATGCAGATAGCTCATGTGAGCGTCGTCGATAATTAAATTCGTCAAAGCATGTTTTTTCGGTAAAATTATTTGATGTTTAGATTCAAATGGTAACAATGATTTATGAATTCGACCTCCTACACGTAAGAGTTTGTCACTATCCAAAAAGGGTGTAAGACGTCGCAATTGATTAGAAGGTAATCTTCCTTGAGATACCTTTAAAATATCGTCTTGAAAGACCGATTGTTGAGTAAGGTAAATTAGTCGATTTAATGAAAAATTATATTCAGGTACGGTAATGTAACCCGGGAACGAATTTTTAACCCTTTTGCATTTATTATAAAAACGAAATATTAGTGCGGTAATCCGAACGAGTTTGCCTAGCGACGAAAATCGCATTATAATTTCGGTATTTTGTACGGGCGGTGCCGTAGACATAGCAGAAGATAGCGTTAAGTTACGTTTTTCTTCACATGCTCATAGTTTGAGTCTCAACCGGCCAGTTGTCAGCACTTCGTCGGAGCCATGCAGGACCGTGGTACCACAAGTCGTGTTGTACCATCGCGGTAGGTAGCAAGCCACGTGATGCAGCGTCAGCAGGATTATCGGCTGACGGAACATGGTGCCAGCAGCTGGCGGGAACGCGGGACAGAATATCGCTAGTGCGATTGGAAACAAACGTCTTCCATTCATGGGGCGATGAACGGAGCCAGGCCAGCACGATGGTGGCGTCGGACCATGCGTAAATCCGTTCAGGGCAGATGCGATCTCTGTATAAATTTGCTATCTTATCTAATAGCTTTGAAAGCAATAGAGCTGCCATCAGCTCGAGACGTGGGATGGTAAGGGGTGCGCGGAGCGGAGCTACCCTAGTTTTCGCCATAATCAGGTATGTATAAATATTGCCGTCCTTGCTTGTAAGTCGAATATAGACACAGCCGGCATATGCGATCTGGGACGCGTCAGCAAATCCATGAATTTCTACCGAATCGATATTATTACTGAAAATGTATCGCGGAAACGATACCTGTGATAGCAGCGGTAGCTCGTTTATGAAACGTGTCCACGAATTAATGATATCGATGGGCGGATTATCGTCCCAATCTACATTTGCCATCCACAATAACTGAATCAAATGTTTGGCATACAAGGTTACCGGAGATAGCAACCCGAGAGGGTCATATATTTTTGCGATCTCAGAAAGAATAGATCTCTTGGTGCATTTATGAGTGGTAACTTGAACTTTAAAATTAAATGTATCAGATCCTGGATTCCATTGTAGTCCGAGGACCTTAACTCTTTTGTCGTTCTCCATTTCAGAAAATGGAACGTTTTCGGGCCGCTCACCATGACAAGCTGGTGGCTGTAGTGTAGCGAGTATCGCTGATGAGTTGCTGTGCCACTTACGTAGTTCGAATCCAGCCGTCTTACAAATGTCGATAAGCTCTTGCTGCAGAGCGAGAGTTTTGGACTCCGTATCCTCACCAGAAACAACATCATCGACAAATACGTCACTCAATAATACGGGAGATGCGAGCCTAAAATACTCGGCCTCATCGTGAGCAAGCTGCTGAATTGTACGCAAAGCGAGATATGGTGAGGAATTTACACCGAATGTGACCGTGCGGAGACGGTAGTCCCGTATAGGTTCTTCTGGCGATTTACGCCATAAAATGCGCTGGAAGTCCCTATCAGTTTCACGAATCAGTATATTTCGATACATTTGTTTAATATCCGCAGTGAACGCTACGGCATGAACACGAAACTTTAAAAGTACGTCTACTATATCAAGGTGAAGCTTGGGACCCGTTAAGAGAACGTCATTAAGCGACAAACCACTCGTCGTTCTACAACCCGCATCGAACACTACGCGTGTACGAGTTGTTTTGCTCGATTCTTTAACTACACAGTGGTGCGGAATATAATAGCTGGCACCTTGCAAAGGCTCACTATCAACGAGCTCCATGTGATTCAGGTCCTCATACTCCTGGAGGCACGTGTGATAATCAGTTTTCAGCTGCACGTTGCGTTCCAATCTATACTCTAATTTTCTAAAGCGAGCCAATGCAATTTGCCGTGACTCGCCGAGGCGCGGTGCGTTGGGTTTGAACGGCAGGGCGACGACGTACCGTCCTGTCTCGTCCCGTGTATGCGTCTTTTGGAAAAAGGATTCGCATAGCTCCTCGTCTGGCGTGTAAGTACGTTTCTCGGAAAATGATTCCAGCTCCCAAAACCTTTGAAGATTGTCGTTGTCAAACGAGCTAAAACATACCTGGAGTGGAGTCGAAACGATTGTATCGAACGTTATTTTACCTAATAATAAATAACCTAACACGCTATTCATCGCAATCGGTGACCCCGGAGGTCCAGTAATCATGTTGCCTAATAAAATGTGGGATAGTATATCCGCTCCTAGTAACATTTCTACCGGTTGGGGTGTATGAAAGTCAGGGTCAGCTAAGTTTAAATTTTTTAAATGTGACCAACCTGTAAAGGGCAGAGGTACACTGGGCATTTTCGTAACTAATTTTGGCAAAATTAACGCATCCACGGGTACAATGGGCTGCTGTTTACCTTTTGGAACAATTAAACATGAAACTATACCTTTAGGTTGCACAGGATCGGTATCGCCTATACCAAAAACCGGAATATTTATATGTTTACGCGCTAAACCTAAACGTTGTACGCAAGCCTCTGTGATAAAGGACGCCTGGCTACCCGTGTCTACAATACATCGAACGGTTGATACCTTTGATTCACCTACGCAAATATCAATGAGCGCTGTGGATAATAGGACTGTATGAGTACGAACTAAAGACGCATTGGACGCGCAATTATTATGTACCGCGCTGCTGTTGGCAGGTAAGGTAAGAGGTGACTCAGCCGTGAGAACACTCATTCTCTCTTTCGTAGGCGGGATCTGTATAGCACTATCAGCCACCGTCGTTTCGCTAATGACCGATAACGATTGCGTTGAAAGATGAATTAATGTATGATGTCGTTTATAACACGAACGGCAAACGAAATTTGATTTACAATTCTGAACGTCGTGTCCAACGTGTAAACAATTAAAACAGATGTTTTTATTTTGCACGAATGAATACCTATCTTGTGGAGAAAGATTTAGAAACTGTGAACATTTAGTTAATATATGTTGACCGTTGCAATGCAAACAAGTTTTAACCTTATTACCATTACTTTTAGATCGAGACTGCTCTATGGGTACATTAAGGTTAGTAATCAAAGAGCGTCGCGCCGTAGGCACAGTACCGCCGCTTGCGTTGTTGCTCCGGCCCGAGAATTTTACTGAATTACCCACATTCGCCGATGGTTTCTTAGCAGAATGTACGTTTGAAACAGTAGAAATAGTTATTTCGTCAGCGGAAATTTCCCGTTCGAGGAAAGAAATTAACGCGCATACATCTGGAATTTCGGATGGCTTACTCAATGAACGTTCGAATGTTCTTCTAATAGTGAGCGGAATTTTACGCAACAAAATATTTAATAGTATAAAACTCCATTGAGTTATTGGAAAATTCATAACTTCAAGCGCCTTTATATTCTCTTGATATATATTTAGTAAATTTCGTACACTATGACTCAACCTATCGGAACATGGTTCAATATCCAGAATTTTTTCAAGGTGTTTTGATGCAATAATTCTTTTATTATCATAACGCGACACTAAAATATCTAAGGCTACAAGGTAATTTTCGTCGGTGATAGGGATAGATTTAATAAGATTATGTGGCTCGTTTTTAACTGCAAGTAGTAAATATCTAAGCTTTTCCGCATTACAGTAAGCGCTGTTGTTATGTACTAACGAACGAAATAAGTCATAAAACGACGGCCAATCGGTTGGATCGCCGTTAAATTCTGGCAATGGCAATATAGGTAGGTTTTTTCTGTTTGCTTGCACTATGACCTCGGATGCTTGAAATGACCGACTCGTGCGGCGCTGCTGCTCATCCTCCTTTTTTAAATTATTTAAATAAGTAACAATGGTATAATATAAATCGTTAAAATCATTGCGAACTTTAATCTGCTCCTCTTTATTAAATGATTTTATTTTAATGAGCGTTTTCTCAATCTTTGTTTGAACTTTATTGAATTTTCTTTGGTGAACAGCTAAATCAATAGTTCGCGAACGAAAATGTTGTTCATTTGTTGTTGCGAGCTGAATAATACGATTAAGCTCATCAAGAATTAAATCTCTTTCGAAAATATCTTGTTCACACGGTAATTCGTCGTCCGACATTTTGCGTTACAAAATGGCGGATTATAATTTTACCACATAAAAGAATTGAGTACGTAATACTGCAATACTTTGCTTTGCAAGACAACACAAACTGGAAGATATTAATTCGGATTGAATGATCAAAATGTTTAATCCGGATCGAATGACCAAATCTTTATGTACGATATTCTACTGGGTTTAGCGACTTACCGCTACAATCTCCCTGCAACCACGAATCCAGGGGCTGGCTCACGGAGCTCGGGGCAGTCGACGCAATGATAGTAGTATCAAAGTTCAGCAGAGTGTATCGCACAAGAGTCCATAGGTTACAAGCACAACACTTCCAGGTGAAAGAGATCTTGAGAGATGAGTTTGAGTAACACGAAAATATTTGTATGCGCGCGCGTCGGCGGTTCTAATTAGACTGTTCACAATTGCCGCCAATCGATGTGGCGCTTGTGTCGCACAGAGAACCATAACCCGCAAGATTATGGATGCATTCAGAATGAAAACAGTTGATCGCTAACCCAATGAATTTAATAGAAATATAGAAAAATAATATCTTCGAAATTGTGTTGCCTTGTACTTGTTATTATATACGAAAAAAAAAAAGAAACCAAAAACATAATATATTAATAATCTGTTCCAGTACGGAACAATTATAGATTATAAAATTGCGAGTAGGAATACAAAAATTGTCACATCTCCCGCAGGCGATGCAGTTGTTTGACGGATTTAGCTCTGCGTACTGGCGACAGAAAATCAATTTAAATTAGCCGACCCTCATTCTAGACTCCCTTTGTGTTCAATATTCCGCCTGCTTATTTAGGTGGATGTGGATATACATTTCAAAAATATATGTGTGATTGAGCATTTCTAAAGGAGGCTCTATCCAACAGCGAAATTTTATATTTGGGCTGCGGGGGGGGAGCTTATTATTCACCGCTTTTGGTTGTTTGATGGAGCCATAACTTGGGCCGGAAGTACAGGTGCTTCCGGGTGCACGTTATGCAAGTAGAACTGGCGGTCTTGTAGGAAAGCGCGGCTTGTGTTCTGACGCATTTTATTTAAAAAAGAGAGAAAGAATTGTCCTTTCCATGTGTAAATAAAAATTCAGATGCAATGTCACCCTGCAGAACTGAAATAGAAAGCATTTCTTAAA